GTCAAGAGAATAAAATCAGAGAAACGGTGAAATGTACAGATTTCATGAGACTTTAAATTTTCCATATTTCATACAATTAATGTAATTCGTTTAGTATTACTGTATGCCGATAGAAATATTTTAGTTAATGTGTACCTAGGTAGTCCAAAATGGCGGCGCTTCGGTTACGTTAGGTTAGATTACATTAACTATCTTTTTAGTAGACGTTTCCTTTTTTATTTTGTTCAAGAACTACCGTGAATCAATAACTAGTGACGTTTAGCACAAAGCGGCCTGCCGGCGGCTTCCCTCTGGGAGGAGTCCGTCGGGTCCACGAACAGTCGGAAGCGCTGCAATTGGGATTACCTAAGTACACATTAATATTTTGATTATAAAATAAAGTTGTCATTAATATCTTACGTTAGTATGTTATAGTGTTTCTAAAGCATTAAATTACTTACCTCCAAATTTTGAATTATTGTTACAATGTCTCACTTTATACGTGTACTATCAAATGAAGCAGAGTAAACCTGTGCTATAATTAGTGTTGCCACCTTTTCAAAATTGCTGACCCGGATATTTTAAAATTAGGATGTTATACTTAGAAATAAAAAAAAAATTATTGTGAGTAGAAAGTAAATATTTTTTATTAGAATGTAAAGTAATGTTGCCACTATGAGAATACGGACGTAGGAAAGACTTTCTATTAGGGGTAGTCAAATGAAAACGAGACAGACTATATAACAAGTGTGGCACGGAAGTTGGTAATGCAGGTAGGTGTGTATATAGAAGTGCCCTCTATTGGGAACCAGGAAGGAACAGCGTAAACGTTTACCGCTGTGCCATTTGTCTGTTAGACGTGCTCGAAATGAGGTCGGAGAGTCGTGTGTGCGTCCAACATCACTAAGGAGGTCCGCTGCTTGTTGACTTTCTGGAACACGGCTCCACAATTAACGCACTGCGGTACATAGAAACTTTGCAAAAATTGAAGCGTGCCATCAAATCCAAACACCCAGGAATGTTGACAGACAGCATCATTTTGTTGCAGGATAATGTCCACCACATGTTACCAAGGTTCTTTTGACTACGCTGCAGAAGATTCGCTGGGAACTTATGCAGCGTAGTCCATACACATCCTCCATACAGTCCCGATTTCTCCCCATGCAATTTTCATATTTTTGGAGCCCCGAAGAAAGACATTCCTGGCTGTCAATTTGCTTCGGACGAAAAGGTGCACGCCTGAGTACAATCATGGTTCCGTAGGCAACCGCAAACATTTTTTTATGAAGGCATTGACCGTCTTGTCTCACAGTGGGATAAATGTATTAACAGTTATGGCAATTACTTTTGAAATAATAAACAGTTTACTTACTTTTTCCCATTTGTCTCGTTTTCATTTGACTTCCCCTAATAGTTGCCGGATCGGCAAGATCTGCTCACTGTGTCACTGGATGGCGTTAAATAGGAGTGCTATCTTATCGAGTGGGAGGTCGGTGAACAAGTCGACAGGTGTCCGTTTTCCGAATAAGACAGGTCATAAACAAAATACAAGTGTTTATTATAAGTAAATCTAGAATGTACAAAGAACTATGTAACACACGATTGAATAGAGCGTAACTAAATAACACGGCGCAACTACTCTACTTCGTGTGGGGATCGCGAGGGGCGTTCAGATACCGTCTATTAATTTCTATCTACCTAAGCTATGTAGATCGAGAGAGAGAGTTTACAATGTTTAAGCATTTTACCTCTGGGTAGGTGACAGATTCATCGACTTCTGGGCGTATCCGGCCGTTGTCATTCTTCATATAGAGGCAAGGAGCTGGATCGGTCGCTTCTTTGAATCTGCCCATCGATTATGGCAAGACGGTAGACTTCTATGGCAGTCTTTCTGATATACGAGAACTGGATCCTCTTCTATGAGAGATGTCCACTCTGTATGGCTTCTGGGGGATGTTCGCCGGTTTATGGCTGTCCAGGAGAGTCTACCCCGATCTGAATTCCATTCTTCTTTTTATCTGATCTAGCCTGGAAAAACTCATCAGGTGATCGGATGTTTAGTGACGAATCTGCAGGTGAACCGTCTATGACATGCAGATGTCATTACATGGATCTATCATGACCATATTTGGTTCGATTCCTTCTTTTTACTTGTTCGTCAGTCGACTTTCTCCTTCTTTAACAGCAGATTGTTAAACTTAAAACTTGGATGTTATAATTCTGGCCCTGTTGTTGATAGAAAAGGTTGTCATTCAATCCGTTTGCTGTGCGATGTTTTCTTAACGATCGCGACGTAGAAATATGCTTAAGAATTTCCAAAAATTTGGGCAAAATCGCGCCTCCGATCTTCACACCGCCTTTTCAAAATTGCAGACCCAGACAATAGGTTTGTCCAACACAAGTCTTTGACTAGTTTCAATTTGAAACCGTACGAGGCATGTGCAATTTCATTTTACAGCAAAGAACTGAACGATACGCATGCAAGTTTTAAACCAGTTACAGACATGTGTTAGAACAAACCTAATATTTGACAGAGATATTTGCAAGTTAGAATTTTAAACGTACATTTTTTGTCACTCTTAGCCTGGGGATAAGTTTGGGTGGGAATGTAAAGTTAAAGGCTTTAACGATTAAAATAAAATACTCGCAAAGATTTTAAAAAATTTATTTTGTTTCATCATAATTTCACAATTTCTACGGAAACCGGACAAATTAGTAATTAATCCGAACCATGAATTTAAAACCGGCTTGTCCGAGTGAAAACCAGCTTGGTGGCAACACTAATGTAAACTTGTACATAATACAGTGTAACCTCGCATAACGAGTAATTCACATAGCAAGCAAAACAAATTGTAAAACAATGACTCCCTTAACGAGCGACGTTTTGCATAACGCGTGAGAAGGAGAGGGGAAGGCCCGGATTGTGTGCATGCTACATAAGTCTGTGTTTAGCACTCGTTCCGTTAGCATCTTAGTGCCGCTAATGATCACACATTTTTACAAACTTGTGTTCAGACATATTACATATAAACATCAACAAGCATTGCCCGTTATAAAATAAACACGCCAAACAATATGCCAAATTTTTGGACTATGTGAAGGCTATAATTAGATATTAGAGATTAATTAACTTGACTAAAGGTAGACAGTTATGCCGCCGTCTCGTATTAAATTTAATGACAATGCAAAACTAAATTTTATAAATGTCTAATTGAAAATTATTTATAATTATTAAATTTAATACGAAATGGAAGCTTAACTGCCTACCTTTAGTCAAATTAATTAATTTCTAATAGAGAAATTGCGGCCGAAGATTTCATCTCTAAAACGTGAAAGTCAAACGATGAGCGCCACCATCTTGTAAGACTAGAAGTTTGACAATAGCGTTTGGAACGTCGAGCACGATTTGAATGACATTCCGAACGCCATTGTCAAACTTTTAGGCTTACAAGATGATGGCGCTCATCGTTCGACTTTCACGTTTTAGAGATGAAAACTTCGGCCGTAACCTCTAATATTTAATTATAGCCTTTACATAGCCAAAGAATTTGACATATATTTTAGCGTGTGTATCAGATATATTATCTGTGATTTTTTTTGTTGTTTTCTGCAAATGGAATTCGCATTTCAGGTTGATTAATTCCGTGCTAGAAGAAAAGATGAAGATGATTCACGCTCCTTAACAATGTACAGTCGACCCCCCTATAACGTACGTTCTAATAACGACAATTCCTATAACGTAACGAAAAAATTGTACAAACTCTCGTAAAACATACCTCCCATAACGTCGTTTCGCGACAAGATTGATAGAGTCTGGACCAATAGTGGATGAGCAGCCGAACTACTTTCCTCCGACCCTGCGCCACGCTACGGAGCGGCTAAATTGAGTTTGCTATCGTCTGTTTAGTATTATATATAAATTATATATAAATTAGGTACTGTACATATAATTATATATTAATTATATATAAATTAGCTACTGTATATATAATTATATATTAACTTAATTTATTGTAAGTTTATTATAATTATATATATGCTTTCTGCCGCCTGGCAACACGCTACGGAGATTTTAGGCTAGTAAGTTGAGTTTATTATCGTCTGCACAGTATGTAAATTAGGTACCGTAAGTCTAATACAGCACTAATTTTATACATTTCTTGTGAAAGAAACACTTCTTATTCAACGTCCATAAAAATTATTTATATTAATGATGTCTCCAAAGGTCAAGTTATTTTTCTGCGAAAAATTCGTTATCAGAAATCGCGGCCGCCGTTTCGTGTGCTGTTCCGCGACGAAGACAAGCTTTGAACAACGGGCGTAGTCGAACGGTACACACTCGGTAAGTAATCCTATAATTTTTTGTTTATAGCATAGTTTATACGGATTACTCCCAAAAAATTATACGTGTTTTGGAAATGTTGAGTGGAATTAGTCTAGAATCGGTTAATTTTATAGAAGAAAACCTTTCGAACAGCCTTAGTCCGTAAAGTTCCCACCTATCGGGCTGCGATTGGCTCACTCCTACAACGTAATTTTCGGTTAGCGTGGAACGTATCTAAGCGTTATAGGGGGGTCTACTGTATATTGTATAATTGTCTTTGAATAAGCATTATACATAAAGTATTTGAGTATTTTATTCGGCATGAAACTCATTGTCGTATTTTACATTAAAAAACTAAGTATCCTAATTATTTCCATTTTGGCTCTTCTCGCCTCTGGCTGTTCTTCACTAACTTGTAAGATAGCCTTTTCTTCTATATACTGAACGTCATGTATACGGCCACACTTCCAATGAGGAAAGAAGGATGATAAAGAAGAGAACTGATTTCATTCGTTCTCGTATCACCCAGAATGGTAAGCCAATATTTTAACCGCATTTACCGTTCAGAAAGCGATTAAAATATCGATGTAAACAACAAAATCCTTTTATTTATTTAATATCATGTATATATTGTTCATAAGTAATGTAATATTATAGATGAACAATATGATTTATTTAATACAGTTTAATTCAGGGAACATCAAGTAAAACCAGAAATAAAGTCTTGTTCGGCTATTATGAAGTTGACATGTAATTGTTTCACGGTAATAAAAATATCTGCACATTTTTGTATAGTTTTCAAGTAATGTTTGTCACGAACAATAAAACTTGGTGTAAACAATTTTGCAAGAGATTCTTACAGCTTTCTTCAAATGCGTGTAACACAAAATAAGCTTATCTTCAGGACTTTACTTCAATGCTACTTTTTGGTTTTAACGTTATATTTGATATAATATACCGGTTTTTAGTAATTGTCTGCACACTCCAATTATCATGTAAGCATGTATCGATATTATTCCTAATCTTCTCGTGAAATATAATTTTGAATGAATGAAGTAACATTCTGCAAAGTGAATCAGTAACAACTTTAAATTGATGGTATGCACTGCAGAATACAAAGAATCACTTACTTCCTATTACTTTATGAAGTATTTGTAATAAATTTACACAATTGTCACAAAACAGCATCGATACTATTAAATTAAATTGTGTACATTTTTATAAAGTAGTATTCAACGGTTGTAAGAAAGAACTGTTCAATGGATTTTCTGTGGTATTAAGTACTGACACACAGGTATGTTTTTTATTTACATTTTTAAGTTCGAGTAGTGTCGAGAAGATCGAATAAAGCATTTTAACCAGCTGAAACATAAAGGAAAAATAAAGCAATTCATAGGAAATGGTAGTAATAAATAGTAAATAAATATTAAAAATTTTTGTAATAGAAGTTAAATGTTAATTTTAAACGTTAATGCCGAGTAGAATTTACTCTAAATTATTATATTTCTCTAAAAGTATATGTCTATAAAGAAGAAAATATATATTTTTTAAACCTTAATGACAAAATTCTTTTTTACGAAAAAGAAACCTGCAACAGAAACTCCAATGGGCATTTTACCAAATCGTTTCATAAAATTCAAAATCTGAAAATATTTTAAAATATATTCAGAAAATATAAAATATTCATTATTGAAAGCATAACAACAAACCTTGAATTTAAATTCCAATTGAAGATTAGCAGAAGAAATCTTGACAATTCCAATGAAATCGCTGTATAACTGTATAAATATATTTAAAAAATATATAAAATTTAAAGTTAGACCGACAAAATTACATGCAAGAAATTTATATTTACAATATAACTAGTATTGTATAATCTCATAATTTCTGATAATATTATCATTAAACTTTCTGACTCGAGGTGCAAACAATTGGGACATACAAAGCGAAATAAAGTAAAGCATTTTTATTAACCTCCACAAATCAAAAAAGGAGTACATCACATTTAACACTTAAACTAATTGCACTGTAATGTATTACTTTTACTTTTTCGCTGTTATACAGGGTGTATCAGAATGACGTTTAAAAATTTGGGGGATTGTAGAGGATGAAATTTTGAACGTTTTGATATAAGGAACCCACAGCCGGAAATTTGAACTAAAGTGTCTACAGAGGTAGGAAGTGCTTGACCGCCCTTCACTTTGGTAATTACCCTTCTGTCCATTGACGTCATATTATTTCTGCGGATGGAAGACTGTAAACACACAATTATAGTAGTCTAACTGAGCCTGTGTACAGGACGTTGTGTACTAAGTGCTTGTCGTCCTTCAGGTCACTCCTTGCATCCACTGGCGCTGTGCTGTCAACTAATCAATGTGAGTTCCTTGTGTACGCAACATCTGTAGGAACAGTTCATGAGCTTACGGAGCGCATCTTTACAACATTTAATACCATCGGGGGGAGCGTGGCATCTTACAGAGGGTCGGACAAAACATGGTTCGTCGTTGCATATTATGTAACGAAGTTGGTGGTCGTCACATTGAACATTTACTCTAAAGTAGTGCAGCCACTGATTCGGTGTACAGTTTGATTGTACTTTACTGTTTTGTCAATAAAACTTGTCATAAATACTGTATTCTGCTGTTTCATTCAGCATACCGACTGCATAGAACGTGCAAAGTGCTGTAGAAACTTTATATCACATTTCCGGCTATAGGTTCCTTATATAAAAACGTTCAAAATTTCACCCTCTACAATCCCCTAAATTTTTAAAACATCATTCTGATACAACCTGTATATAATAGCGGGAAAGTAGACGATCGATCAAAAATGACACATCAATGTTTTTATATTTTTAAACAAGGAATTTTCAAACGTCAATAAATGCAAAAATTTTTTTTATTTTTCTGTATGGATAGATTTTAGGGTGTGCGGGAGCACGATTTCGTTCACTCTGTTTGAAGCTTAATAACGTCCTGTGCTTTTTGTCGAAAATTTATAAAATTTTTCAGGGAGGTCTCGTTATTAGAGTCATTGATGCTGTTAAATTTTGGTGGNAAAATGACACATCAATGTTTTTATATTTTTAAACAAGGAATTTTCAAACGTCAATAAATGCAAAAATTTTTTTTATTTTTCTGTATGGATAGATTTTAGGGTGTGCGGGAGCACGATTTCGTTCACTCTGTTTGAAGCTTAATAACGTCCTGTGCTTTTTGTCGAAAATTTATAAAATTTTTCAGGGAGGTCTCGTTATTAGAGTCATTGATGCTGTTAAATTTTGGTGGTTAAAAGTCGAGGAAGTGGAAAGAAAATGGGAGTCGTGTGTCGTATCTCCAGTAAAGTCGGACTCAATGACGATTTTACTCGTTATTAGCATTTACAATTTAAAATGAACTTTCTACTTTCAAACTTAAGTTTTTTGCTATTTTATAATAATTAAAAATATAAAAAGTTTTTAATAAAATACAAGGTCTGTTCAAAAAGTATCGGACCTTTATTTTTTTCGCGTAAACCAATGATGCGCGAGAGGCCTCCTTCGGTGGAGTTGTGGAGGGGACAGTCATGCACAGCCCTGAATTTTTTCCCGCCTGCAGGAAGCGTCAGTCGTTGGCAATCGGCCTATGAGTGAGGTCATGTAGTGCGCTCTCGTCGGATTCCACTAAGCTGGAAAATGACTGAACAGCGTGAGCAGCGATATTACATCAAATTTTGCCAAAAACCTTGGCGATACCCGAGTGTAAACCATTCGCAAGATTCAGCAGGCTTTCGGGGACGATCCTCGAGGCCAAAAAAAGCGCGGCAGGTCCGCAGCAATATCAAAGGTCATGTTGACAGTTTTTTCGACTCTCGTGGGGTGGTGTGTCGTGAGTACGCACCACAAGGCCAAACCATCGCAAAGGAGTACTACCAGGAGGTCCTTCGTCGTCTTTCCGATACAGTGCGACGCAAACGACCGGATCTGTGGTCGATCAAAACTTGGCAGCTCCATCGTGATAACGCATCCGCCCATTCTGCGCATCTGATTCGGGCTTTCGTCGCCAAACACAATACTCCTGTGGTTCGTCACGCTCCGTACTCTCTCCACATGGCTCCGTGTGACCTTTGGCTATTTCTCAAGCTGAAAATGCCGCTAAAAGGAACCCAAATTTAGTCGAGAGAAGACATCATGCGAAATGCGACGGACCGGCTGATAACCATTCCAAAAGATGCGTTCCAGCAGTGTTTCCAGCAATGGCAGGAACGCTGGGAGAAGTGTATACATTACCAAGGAGACTACTTTGAAGGGGATTAGGGTTTTGTACCTCAAAGTCAATAAATTTATTTTTGCCGACCAAAGGTCCGATACTTTTTGAACAGACCTTGTATAAGAGATGGAGAGATAAAAGACACACGTAGTTTTAAATGTTGCCAGGAAAGTTACGCAACTCGTAGCTCGATTTTTTTCCCCTTTCCATCCTCGCGGAGTATGAACAGCCGTATAAAAAAATATTTCTCTTTATTCATTGAATGCTAAAAGACATAGTAGGCCTAATTCATTTGTAATGCTTTTTCTTCCTAATTATTAAAGACCCTCTGTACTTATCAAGACATTTTAAGAAATCCAGATAAAAATAATTTAACATCTAATTGTATTACTTCTCTTCCACATATAATAATTCAACATGCACCAGCTTACATATATTTTTATGCTTATAACTAGATTAAATGAATTTTTAATTAGATACTTTAAAACATCGAATGAATTTATAGTATGAATTAATTTAATTAATTAATGATTCAACTATTATATAAAGATATATTAATTATTTTAAGTACGTTATTCTTTACAAGTAATATGATATTCTCAGAAACTTTACCATTGATGGAATTTTCGAAATTAGAAAAGAAACACCAATAGATCCTGTTAAGAAGACAATGGATATAATGATTCCTTCTATTTTTAACATTAGGTCTAATTCCATAAATAATAACGAATAAACTATAACGCCAGTGAAATTAGTAAAAAACATATAAACACAAGGCATGAAATTGCTAAAATATTCGTTGAATTGTTGCATAAATTCCCATATTTCTGTATGTTTGTCAATTATCAAATTTATTCTTTCTTTTAAATTTGAAAATTCCTTGCTAATTTTATTTATTTCGTCTTGTATATTAATTAAGCGGTAAGTTAAGATATACCATACTGCTAAACCAATAGTTATAGCGAATACCATTTGTCCCACACAGTACAAAAAGTAAATTCTAATGAAAATTACACAAAACAATGAGCCCAACTGCGAATTTGTTTGGCTGTGTATAGCAGGATACAACAAAAAATCTGAAGCTATGCAAATTATTATCACGAAAAGTGCAAACGTACAGAAGCTTCCAAGCATCAGCCATTCCAAACGTTTCCATTTCTCCTCTTCTTCTGGAAATGCGTTCACATTGCTTTTCAAAGATAGTTGCGATCTTCTCACAAAACTAAACTGTGTACTAATATAAAGGGAAAAAAACAAAACCAAAAATTCGAACATGTAATTGTAATTAAGTATCTTTCTCCAACCAGCACATAAAATTTCGTCATTAAACAAATCTAAGAATATTCTCAATGTCGAACTCCACAGAAAGATCTCCACACAGAATTCGTAACATGAATATAATTTTTCGTGACGGAGAAAATTGTTTTTTCTGTTGTAACAATCGCATAATTTTAGTGGTTGCATGCCAAATATTCTTCCAACAGAGAACAACGGATGCAAATAGCACATAGGATGAAGAGGTGAAGTTTCCTTCATTATTAATGTATGTTGTGACGAATATATTATTGGGCTGCAATTTGAAAAAATTGTAGATTAATATATTCCTACTGTAATTTGTCCTTCCTTAATCTCAAGAGCAGGTTAAATAGTTAAAACTCGAGAATGGATATTGAAAGATGAGGAGCTCGAGCCCCGATTAACCGTGTAGGAACCTCTGATATATACCAGAAGTCACATTAATTGAATTCAAATATTTTTCCCTGAAAGGAGTTAGATAGCAATACACTCATGCCGCTCATCTAACAGCAAAAGTATGATGTACAGGGGCGAGATACCGCTAATTTCAGATGGAGAATATATATTTATATTTTGCTGTTGAATAAACTAAAATGATGCGAACTGGAACTTAGCGAAGCAGTTTTTGAAGAAAAATTAGAGGAAAACATTTATAAATATTATTAAATTTATCAAGAAAAGATTATTGAATTAAAATGATGATTTATATATGATATCTGTAACACAACTGACATAATTGTATTTGCTTTCATGATTTTCCTTTGTTAATAATAAGCGAATTGATAAAATTCATTATTTTTATGTAATGTCAAATGTGTAAATAGTAACCAATATATTAATATATTTTCATTTTAATAAAATATTGCTGGAATTAAATGTGAAATTATGAGTTTATTCAGCAGATTGATACAGGAAAATTATGATTTATTGAAGAATTTAATTGAAATTTCCAGTCGTGGTAAATCTAATTTATCGTAAACCATTGGAGTATTTGCTGTTCTGTTAAATTTATTAACTTACTTTTAATAAATGGAATGATTTTATTTACTCCATTCTAGTATTATAGTTCATTTCAATATTTATTTTGCATCTTTCAATTTTGTTTTAAGAGTAATTCGTTTAGTTCAGAGTTTTATTGTGGTTCATATAACAAACAACTTTAATAATCGATAAATTTTAACTCAGTTTCCTTTAATTTCAATTATATAAATCTAAATTATTCCGTTTACATAATTTAT